TCAAACTTGGTCAATATATTATATATCTATGCTTACCTAGAATTCTATAGAATTCTACGTACAGTACTAACCTAGAATTCTATAGAATTCTACGTACAGTACTAACCTAGAATTCTATAGAATTCTATACATTTCCTAGATTTCTGTTTTGAGAATAACTCGGACTTACTATGTTTCAGCTGTGAATGAGTTGTTGTAGAATTCACAGCGAAAATATAGAATTCTATAGAATTCTGTAGAATGTCTGAAATGTAGGAATTCTGCCACTGCTGCTTTTGAAAGATTCAAATCTTGAAAGCAGAGATGAGATGATTGCACTCCTCGTAAAACACTGTAGGCAATTTCTGTTTCTGGAAAACTGTCAGACGAGCTAAAAATAGGATGAAACTAGGGCGAGAAAAAATCTGGGGCGACTATGCACGATTCTTGCCGAAACTTATTGCGACTATGCACGGTTCTTGTAGAGCAGGTCTGCATAATCGGATTTGCGACGCGACTGATCGCGACTGTTGCTAACTCGTGTCGCGATTTTAAAAACAAGGCAAGACTCCCGCCGCGAGAACGCAATTTTCTTATCACTATAGCAAGACTTTATAGCGGTCGCTAAAAGCGCATCTTATTTCGCGATCGTCCTATAGTGATCGCGTAGCGCGTTCGCACCGCGATTTTTTAGCGCGAGTCGTGCCGCGACTTTCGCACGAAAAGCGGCCTGGGTAGAATATAAATAGTAAGAATCGAAAACGAGTTATTTTATGGATGTTCATAGTAGTGTGTTTGATTGTGAACTACAGATGATAATGAGTACAGAAGGTCAGCGAGAGCTTCAAGTTTTTAAACAAAAAGATGATTGATTGTTGTTCGCATACGATTGTTACCAGGGTTGCCAGTCCCACATTTAAAGTACTTTTTTGTATTACGCGTCTAGTTCAACAGACCTTGAGCGGTTAGTAATTTTTCTTATGTGAAATCTCCAACGGGGAAACAACTGGTTTTCGATTTTCACGAACTTTCAATGATTTTTACCGATTTTAGATTTAAATCGTTTAAATCGAAAAATCAGCTGTTTCCCCCTTGGAGACTTTCACATAAGAAAACGCATCGAACGCAGAATTGAGAATTAGAATGAATACAAACTTAACGTGTACTAATTTTCATTCTTTGATTTTAAATAACAAATAACTTCTCAAGAGTATTCGTGGAAGTGAAAAATATGTACATAGAAGTAAAAAATCACGTTTAAATTGATCATTTATTGTTTATAGTGTAACAAAAGATATTTGCCTTAAATTATATGTTCTGACATAGTAATATTAGAAAAACCAGAATAAAAGAATATACCCACGTGCCTTTGATTTTCGCAATGACACCGCACGCCAAAGGATGTGTTTTGTGTCATTCCCCTTTGTAGAAAAAACAGTCCCCCTTATGTCCCCCTTTTTTCAAAATTTGTCCCCCTTTTACTTTTTTTTTAGTTGGCATCCCTGATTGTTACTATCGTCATTGAACTATATCACAACAGATAATATCCGTATTGTTTTGAGGCAACAAAAATTGTCCGGATTTCGTATCATCCATGAAGTTTTCTTCGGTAAAACATCTGTTATGTTATATTTATTATAGCATTACTGTGTCCGTCGTCACATACTACCTACATTATTTATATCATAGAAACTTTTAATTTTCGACAGAAGATAGCATCGATATTATATTAATCGGTATACTTTATAAATAGACGCGTAAAACTGTGCGTCTTTGTTAAAGACAAAATGACTGAGAATCGAGCCAATTCTTATCAGCTGTAAATTAAACATATTTCATATGAAGACTACCCGCATTCTATTCGCAGCGATTCAAGCCCGTAGATCCTCGTATTATATACGAGCATGCTTTTGCTTCAGACGTTTTACTTAAAATTTTGAATGAAAAATGTTTTTCTCAAAATATGTTGAATTATACATCATTCGATGCAGTTGTTTTCATAAATTCCGAATATCATATTAATTTTGAATAAAACTCTTTTGAACGAAAAAGAAACCAGAGGATTTCTTCCTACCTTTCGACAAGTTTATCATCATCTTCATGTACCGAAACACGTGTTGAAGCACGATTACCTGTACTATTACTAAAAACAGAAAAGTAGAATAACCCGTTGCCAAGTTTTCTAGGTGACTTGTCTCACCAAAACGAGAACATAAAAAACCGTGTTTTGATCCGTTTTTTCATAGTAAAAAACAGATCAAAACGCGTTTTTTAATTTTATCGTTCTGGTGAGACAAGTCACGTAGAAAACTTAGCAATGGGAATTGTCAAAACGATTTTATTGTGAGACGAATCGACTCAACCAGTTCGATTTTTTCAAGTCAGATCATCGAAAAGATTTTCTGCAGAATAAGTGGGATTTTTTTGGTTATGTCGTCGAGAAAAGTTGTGAAGTAGGACGAGTCGACACATCGACCAAAGCACACTAGTTTTTACTATTCTTACTATAGTAAGAACTGGCAAACAAAAAGGACATATATGCTCGTTTTGTAGCCTGCATCGGTTTGTGCAAGAATCCATGATTTTTAAAAGGAACCATACCGGTTTTGCAGATCCGTAGACGTAAAAATAGATTTGGACTCCGCAAACGACTTTATAGATAAGGATACTTTAGAAACTCACAGTATGTGGCCTTACTTCCTCTTTGTTTTACTGAATTCTATACGCAGAAGTAAACGATGTATCATCTTTAAATCCGATGCAAGCTATCGTCTTTACTTTCATATTTATACATTAGATACTTAGATACTTCATTTTCAAATTTTGTTCTAGCATTTTTTTGTTTCCAGCTTGCATTACTGCTCTTAGTCTCAAATCAGTATAACAATCAAGAAAAAATAATCAGTTCATTGTTGGGAGAAAAGACTACTGAAATCGAACTGACTTTAAATAGCATTTTCAAAATATCCAGAGTCTGGATTGATATTTTAAGGGATGAGAGCGATTTAATGGGATAAGAAGCTTTCAAGACAGCATAGGTAAAACATTCAGCATAAAAATTGGTTTCAAAAACTATGTCTGTAGTTAATTGTACGAAACTTCTAAACCCATTGTGAAGGGTATCACACATTTCACCTGGCACTGTGAATGATGATAAAATGTCAAAAAATTTTCTCACTATTGCAGTGTACAAGCGAGATATTCTCTTATGAGTCTGCTAGGTATTTGAGAATTTTGCGTCAGTTTAACGTACATCTGGTTAAGCACGCTTTTTTTGTAGCAAGAACATTGACGTTTTCCGATCTGACATCCAGGAGTAAAAAAGAATTTCGCGCACATATTGCTTTTGCCAGAGCAAGCTGAGGATTTTATTTTTTTACTTTATTACAAGAACAAATTTTTTCTTTATTCCTTTTCGTTTTGTGCTGTTGTGGTTTGTATAAAAATCATTTTTATTGTCCATACAATCAACACAACTAGGAGTAATCTTATATACGTTTCTGAACTTGGACACGGACTTGTAGATAGTTCTTTTGACGGTGATGAGGGTGGTGTTGTTGTTATTAATCTATCAACAATTCTACTGATTAATTCTTGCTGATTAAATACTGTTGATGAGAGAGTGTCTTGTGCATTTAAAGTATGTTTCAATAGAGATTGGATTAATAGTTGATTTTCGACTGTTGCTGCTAATGTTGTCTCCTCATTGTCTGAATCTGTAGCAGTAGTAGTCGACGATGAATTACTATCCTGACGTCTAAAGAGTTCTTGTCTTAATTTACGTATTAATGGTCTTAATTCACTACGTTTCAGTTTGCGTATGTTCTTATTTGCTTTCAAATTAATTGAACGTTTATAATCACGTATGATTTGATCGAAGTCAGACACCGTAATTGAAGTTGAGCAACATTTAGGTTGAACTGTAGCAGTGGAATTGGCGTTGAATAAACTAGTTGTAGTAATGGGATCAGACGTAACTGTAATGGTTGATTGCTGAACTAAAACAATTAGAGAGAAAACCGGTCAGATCGACTGCAAAGAAGGAAATAAAAGGCACATACGAATGCTGATAGCAAAACGAAATGTGCGGGTGTGTCGACAAAACTTACTCTGTATCGTTTGGCTGGTTTTTCTATCGTCATAATCTGTAACTGGTAATTTTGATTCAATATGTTTAATTTCATCGACTAACGACTGAAATGCTTTTTCAAATGGATCTTTAGCAAATTCAATATGTATTAACGATCCTTTGATAAAACCTAACCATCCTTCACATATATAATCAGCTTCCATCATACACGGTACATATGCAATACGTTTTTCGACTGTATACGCAGCTTCTAGGATTATCAGATGAAACAGATAGATAGACAGGTTCACAGATCGTCAACAGAGTTTACCTTTTTTACAATAATAACTATGATAATAAGCATCATTAATACATAGCAAAACAGCAAATGAATTCTCTACGGCCCATGCCATACCGTCTAAAATATCACCACGTAAATCAGGAGTATCCATCCATACATTATAATCAAGAGTCTAAGACGAAAAAATAAGTGTTTCTATGGCAAACCTTGATATTGAGAGGAGAAACTCGGCATATTTAACAGCCGGATTCGAATTCTAGAACTACCTAACCGCCTGACAAGGTTTTGAAAGAACAGACCTTTGATGATGCTCACAGAAACGAGCCATCGATACAAACGTTACGTGAGGTTAAACTATATTATGTTTGACTCCAAAGATAGCTTAAAAATTGATTCTTCTCCTAAACAACTACAAAATATAAGTTTTTTTACCATGAGATGGTTTTATGAATACGAATATAGGCTCGATCAGCTCATCAATCCTCTCGTAAGATTATTGAACTGAAGACAGAACGGCGAACGTTTTTCCCACTTGATTTCATACCCGTAGCCGGCTTGCAATTTCTGTACATATCTCAGATGATGTTGCATGATTATAACTAATCATAATATGACCTGTTTAAAAAGAGGGTTTAATTATAACTATGCCTAAAAAGCACAATCAGCAGTCGTTCTAACATACGTTTGCTCTTAATTTTCTTCTCGTTATCAACAGCTACTGTTGACGGTTTTTGTTCAACTACAATTGTATCGCCTGTTGTTGTAGGTGTAGACGTTGATGGCACTTCTAAAAACCATATATGTGAGCGTCTTTTTAAACGCTTCGGAGTACGTACAGCCAAATGAAAAATATCGTACCTTTTATATTGTTATAAAACGGGATGGAATGTCCACTATCTAAAAGTACATCTCCTTCTTGCTCATCTGATTCATTTTCACTGCCACTGGCAGTTGACTTGAAGAAAGTATCTTGAGCTAAAGGATGTTGCTGTTGTTGGTGATTGTACAAAGATGAAAGACGTTGTTGAACGTTGTTTAATGCATCGACTATTTCAGCTGAAAAAGGAAATAAGGGTAAGATATGATCGGCACAAGAAAAATACTGCAACTCACATTGAGTTTCTTCAATGGATTCATTTATCGGTGTTTCACATGAACCTTCTGAATCTAGTAGAAAAGAACAAGCAAAGGTACGATAAAATATCAGAGCTGGTTAGTTATTCGTCTGATACGATCATACTATTTTGGAAAACGGATACAGCTGTGTCTATAAAGGGATAGACACAATAGAAGATCCCCGCCCTCAATAGAGGCTCCTCCCTTTTCTTATCGATTTTTCGGTCTGAAAATATACTGATTTTTGTCATTTATTTGCACACTATTTTTTCTTTCGTCTTTCTGCAATGACAAGAAATAAACAGCGGTTATGAGCTGTATAAAGCTTTTCTATAGTTCAGACTTTCAATCAAGCAATTTTAGCTAAAAACAGGCCTTTTTTACGGAAACTGTAGAAGGGGGGGGGGGGGGGGGGGGGGGGGGGGGGGGGGGGGGGGGGCGGGGGGGGGGGGGGGGGGGGGGGG